AATGGAACTCAGAAGGTGATATTGGATTGATATGGCAACCTATAAAAATACTATAATAGAGAAATGGACAAGAGAACCACTAAGGTAAAAGATTCACGTGAGGCATCCCTCTGATCATGTAATGATCAACTGAGAAGGTGCATCTGTGACCCAAAGGGATAAGAAGTCTCCATGAAGCCATGGTCTCCAAACACTAAACCTCTCATACAGAACAAGTAGGATATGTGCAAATCTTGGTATCGATAAGTTCCATAGCTGGCAGACAGATTGGAGAAGGCTGATCCCAGCTGAGAATAGATTGAAAAAAAACCCCACCCCCTCCAGTGAATAAGATACTGAGTGGGAGTGAGGAAATGTTAGAAATGATGATGAACACAGCCTCCATGAAACATTGGAAAGAGGAAAGCAGAAAGAGGAAAGGAAACAAGATGAGGGGTGAAAGGAGAAAGAGAATGGAATTGGAAAGAAGGTCCATGGGTAAAAAGTAAAATAACCCCTGTGTGGATGGAAAAGTGACCACAAGAGCTCAATTGTGACAGCTGGGTACCCGCAGGACCCAACAGGATGGAAACATTAACAATTTGTTCCATGATTTTGGTGCCAGGTATGTGAGGAAGTTGGAAAATGGGAATAAACAGATGGAGAACTAGGGACTATGACAAGGTACAATGGTTGAGGATAGGGTTGGGGAGAGTGTGGAAATAAAGTACAAAAGCAAAAGCAGCCTGAGCCCATGATTCAATCAAATACCTCCAAACTTCAGAGAAAAGAAAGAGGATATGCAAAGGGTTCATAGAAGGGAAGAAAGAAGTCAAACAGGCTATAGTGTGGAACATGTATACTGGTTTTTGGAGGTGATTGCAGAAGTAGAACTCACATAGTAGTGGAAAAACACCATCTATCAGTCTCAACCTCCATTTGCAAAGCCTTACATGTAAAGAAAGAAATATGAGCAAAATAAGAAAAAAATAAAGATAGATAAGATGGCAACAAGATGCTCAAGTCCACAACATCCCATATCTAGATCACCTGTCACTGCTCATACACAGTTGTTGAAGGTGGCTACTCTAGGAAGAAAAGTAAAATAAGAACAAGAAAGAGAAGGTCCTATCATTGAGGGTAGTGAGTAAGAAAACCTTGGTATTCCAGTCCCCATTATGGTAATAAAAGTTCAATTAATGTGGTAATATAAGTAGCACGGCAGACATACTATACTAGAATGAAACCTCTACTGAACTGCCTAATCTAGTATAACATCCATCCTCCATCCATAAAAGTGTATTGTAACTACTAATTTCAAATAGTCTTCTACCCTTTATAAGAGCTTGTATATTCATGCACGATGTTATTACATGCATGAAAACAGTGCCAAGACGTTTCTTTTTCAACTGACCTTAATTAAAAAAAAATCTATAAATCTGTATCACACATTTAAAGCACAATATATTAATTCTTACTTCTTGATACTTATGTAATGTCTTTTTTATATGTGTTACAAAGTACTTTAACTTATTTAATGTCTGTTTGTCAAACCCATTTAATATTGATTTTTGTACTAATATCTTGACATTACTTTAAAATATTGTAATTTGTTACAAATTCTATGGAATCTTGAGTAGTTGTGAATTTGTAACACTTATAATAAAAGAATATGAAACATTACAGTTAGAAGAGGGTATATGGTAAAGAACAATTATTTTTATGAAAAATATTTATATTAATATCATTAATAAGTATTTTAATTTCCAGATCATAATAGCCTCCCAGTGGCACAGTGGTAAATAGTTAATGAAATTAATTATTTCAGGATTATTTATATTAATTAAATCAATATATCTACAAATTAAAGCAAAAACATCTGGATAATGTTTTCAATAAATTTATTTTCATAAAAATAAAGACAGAAATTGGCTATACATGTAGAATAGTTAGGTGCCATTGGAACTTCTACTACTTGTTTAAATACCTGATTATTGAAAAAATATTATCATAAATACAGAAACTTTGTATAATCTTTATACATTTGTAAAAATACAGAAGGATTACAATCCCATTCTATCTCCTGTGTTATTTGAATGGTAGTACCCAGTTATTCACCACTCATGACTAGAGGTTTGATATTTGTTTTTGGTATGTTTTGTATTTGAACATTTTTGGAAGGCACACACATTCACACACAGGGTTGAGTATGATACATAAAAACAAATTTGATTACGCAAATCAGCAAGACACGTGACAACCACAACATTATAAAGTTGACATTGTTTGTACTTTGTGGGTAGTATATGACACTGAAAATGTACCACTTTGGGAAAGGATATGTAACAGCCCTTTCTAAGGCAAAAAAACAATACATTAAGATGGTATATTCAGACCAAGGATTTAGAAATTCCAAGGTGGAGCTATCTCTTGGGCATAATGGCATTGAGATCAAATTAATATGGAGGACCTTGAAGCATCAAGACCATCTAGAAAGAAATTTGCAACAAGTTAAACTCCAACTATGGTAAGCAAAGTGAGGTATCCATGAATACAAAGATCACTAACAAAAGCCATCCTCATGCCCCAGGCAACAGTAAACAACATAATAAAGAAGAAACTTCATCTGCAAAGCAACACAAGTCATGGACACATGTTGCTTCTATGACATAACTATTCAAACATTGTACACCTCTAGCTGTGGAGATTGAGATGGTTGTTCATGCTATTCCATAAGAATATATATCAGTCAAGTTGCCAGGTGTAATACCTACTAAATACTGTGCTATTGGACTGTTGAAATGGTTATTAAGAAACCATCATCCTACATACTCTATGACTTATGGAAAGCTTGTAGAAATGAGAGGTGTGCTTTAGACATAAAAGCCTTACAAAAGAGCCTTCTGCTGTGAAAATCATAATTCAGGGCTATTATTAAAATGCATGGTCATAAAAAAAGAGCATAACTAGATGTGAAGATATGAAGTGTAAAAATGTAGAAGTGTTGTAAAATTATTTTAATATAAAGTACTCATCCACTGGATATCATAAATGCTGCTACACTAGTAATCACACTACTGTCCTTACAGGCATCAGGAATTTCTCTAGTTTCAGGAAACTTAAGAAAAATAAGTTAAACCTCCAATACTTATTTTATAAGATTATTCAATGAAGCTTAGAATAAATCTTGTAAGTACCAGGAACTTTATTCAAAAGGTTTCTACAAGCTTTTCTTAAACAGCTAATTCTTCAAGAGATATAACCTAAGGTAAAAAAAATACAAGTGAAAATTGGTTAATCTTTAATGATGTTCCTTCTAGTTTTATCCATACAAAGGTTCCCTTGACTCTTTCAGGTAACATAAAGCCATAAACACTATCAAACCAAATTTAATACTCCCTCTTAAAACTCAGCTACATATTTATTTTCATTTCTATAAACCTCAACATATTTTACTATCATGCATACTTTCAAATTAAAGATGTTTATACAGATATTCTGAATGTATAATGGCTGGAGACGGCTTAAATGGGTAATGAAGAAAAACTTTAATATAAGTTTAACATGACAGCAAATGTA